TAATACTCGACCTCCATAACTTCCTATCAAGGTTCATGTCCTCAGAAATCTAAAGTCTCGCCATGTCCTGCCTGATCACCTCTCCCAAATACTTCTTAGGCCGCCCTCTACCTCTTCTCGTGCCCTCCAAAGTAAGTCGCTCACACCTTCTTACCGGAGCATCTGGACTTCTCCATTGTACGTGCCTGAACCATCTGAGTCTCGTGTACCGCATCTTGTCATCAATGGGAGCCACGCCCACCTTCTTCCGAATATCATCAACCCTAATCTTATCCATCCTAGTATGCGCACACATCCACCTCAACATCCTCATTCTTGCTACTTTTATCTTCTGGATATGTGAGTTCTTAAGAGGCCAACACTCAGCCCCATACATCATGGTCAGTCTAACCACCACTTTATAAAACTTACCTTTGAGTATCGGTGGCATTCACTTGTCACACAGGACTCTAGATGCTAACCTCCACTTCATCCACCCCACCTAAAATTTCATGGTATGACTCAATAATATGATACCGCTATACTTGTTACAACTCTGGATATCACCTTTGTTCTTGTACAACGGAACCACCGTACTCCACCTTCACTCATCTGGCAGCCTCTTCATCCTAAAAATAACATTAAACAGCCCAGTCAGCCACTGCAAGCCTACTCTACCCACACTCTTCTAAAATTCAATCGGAATTTCATCTGGCCCGGTCGCTCTGCCCTTACTCATCTTATGCATAGCTCCCACGACCTATTCAACCTTGATGCGCTTGCAGTACTCAAAGTCACAGTGACTCTCGGAATGCTCCAATTCACATAGCATAATATCCTGACCAAAATATGGAGGCAATTGCTCAAAAAGAGCCATGTGACATAACAAATGATAAGACCTCAGAGGAGACCTAGGTACTTGAAAATAATAAGAATGAAGAGATCTCAATAAATTATTTCTCTACGGCAAAAAGATGGAACCGAAATAACATTATTGTGGACAACGTTATTGCTTATAATGTTATTGTTGAATAATACAACAAGATGAGGATCTTGAACCAAGATCTGTCGATGGATGTAGACAGATAAATGATTGGCCAAAATGGAAAGACGTAATCCAGGCAGAATTAGCTTCACTTGAAAAACGTGAAGTATTTGGACGTATAGTCCGAACACCTGAAGGAATAAAGCCAGTGGGATACAAATGAGTTTTTGTGCGAAAACGAAATGATAAAAATGAAGTCGTTAGATATAAAGTACGACTTGTGGCACAAGGATTTTCACAAAGACTTGACATTGATTATACGGAGACATATATTCATGTAGTGGATGCAATCACTTTCAGGTATCTTATAAATTTGGCAGTCTACAAAAAATTTGATATGCGTCTGATGGATGTTATCACCGCATATTTGTATGGCACATTAGACAACGAATTTTATTTTAACATCCCTGAAGGGTTTAAAGTTCCTGAAACTTATAAAAGCTATCGGAAAACTTATTCAATAAAGCTTCGAAAATTCTAATACGGATTAAAAAAATCAGACAAATGTGGTATAATCGCCTGAGCGAATACTTGCTGAAAGAAGAATATAAGAATGATCTAATTTGTCCTTGTGTCTTTATAAAAAGACATGGATCTGAATTTGTTATAATTTCTGTGTATGTTTATGATCTAAATATCATTGGAACTCCTGGGGAGCTTCTGAATGCAGTAGACTATTTAAAGAAAGAGTTTGAAATGAAAGATCCTGGAAAGATAAAATTTTGTCTTGGTTTACAGATTGAGCATATGAAAGATGGAATTTTTGTTCATCAATCAACATACACCGAAAAGATCTTAAAGCATTTTTATATGGATAAAGCACATCCACTGAGTACCCCGATGGTTGTGAGATCACTTGATATAAATAAAGATCCATTCCGACCTCATGAAAATGATAAAGAGCTTCTTGGTGATGAAACTCCATACCTTAGTGCAATTGGGGCACTAATGTATCTTGCAAATAATACTCGACCAGATATAACTTTTCCAGTTAGTTTATTAGCAAGATTTAGTTCCTTTCCAACAACAAGACACTGTAATGGTGTTAAGCATTTTTTTAGATACCTCTGAGGGACTATTGATATGAGATTATTTTATTCTTATGAATCCGATTCACAAATAATTGGTTATGCAGATGCAGGTTATTTGTCTGACCCAAATAAAGTCCGATCTCAAACAGGCTATCTATTTACTTGGAGGTACAAATATATCATGGCATTCAACAAAACAAACTTTAGCTGCTACGTTTTCCAATCATGCAAAGATTATAGCTATCACGAATCTAGCCGGGAATGTGTATGGTTGAGATCACTGACTCAACACATTTAACAACTGTGTGGTCTTTCTTTAAAGACGAAAATTCCAATAATATTGTATGAAGATAATATTTCTTGCATAGCTCAACTATAAGGAGGATATATTAAAGGAGACAGAACAAAGCACATTTCATCAAAGTTCTTTTTCATGCATGATCTCAACAAAATGATGAGATAGATGTTCAACAGATCCATTCATGTGATAATCTGGCAGATTTGTTCACAAAGGCATTACCAACATCAACATTTGAGAAGCTGAGACATATATTGGAGTGCATCGTCTCCGAGATATCAAATAAAGTTTTCATCATGTTGAGTATAATATGTTTTGTACTTTTTTTTCCTTAACCAAGATTTTGTCCCAATTGGATTTTTCTGGTAAGGTTTTTAATGAGGCATCACTCAATGCGTATTACAAGATATGTGTACTCTTTTTCCTTCGCTAGGCTTTTTCTCACTGGGGTTTTCCTAGTAAGGTTTTAACAAGGCACAATATTTGTTAAATAGACATCCAATTGGGAGTGTTATGAGATGAATGTATGTGATTGAGATGAACGCATTTGTCTGTCCATTTAACGTATTTTGTATTCATGTACTCAATTAAGAAGTACATAATTTATAACCTCTGAATATATTTGTACCTTTATAAATAGGAAACATTTGACCCTATGAAAAGCACACCAAGAAGAGAAATAACAAAATCATTCTCCCTCTTATATATCTTGTCTCCATAACTATATTGTTCTATTTTGCTCCCATTTCGTAAGAGTATTTTATTTTTTCTTTTGTTGATGACAAGTATTTACAATAAACAAATATTTCTCGAAAAGAACTTAAACAATCACTTGCCAAAATCTTTGTTAGGTCCGAAAAAATCAGGTGTCATGCGGAAACTATCAAAGCAAACCTTGAACGACGATAAATCATACAACAAAGAGAAATAACCAAAAGAGACACAAACATGTAACGTGGTTCGGCCAATTTGACCTACATCCACAGCTGAGATGAGCAATCAACTATAATAAAAGAGAGTACAAAATATCGAGAGAACAACCTCACGAAGAGGCAAACACAAGTGACACACTAACACTTATCCCGTAAAGTTCTCCCCCTAAACACGACTTTCAAACCCCATATGGCTACATTGTGGATGCTGCTGAATGAGAAGGACTGATCTTCAATTTATAGAACTCCAAACCTTTTCCTACAAGAAAATGGACTAGCCAAATATTGGAGATTGATAATTTTCTTCTACAAAAAGGAAAACCCAATTAAGGTAATTATAGTGCCATTTTCCTTCAAGAGATAGGAAAACCAAATATGGCAAGAAAATTATGGCAAACACCTAACAATCTTCTCGTTTGAACAAGGGAAAATTCTATTATGCGACTTGGGTTCAACCAACGTAAAAATACTCTTAACGTATCGCACTGTTGTGACCAATTTATTATCTTGGTCAAGAACTATCGAATATATATCATTCATGAAAGATGTGTTGGTGATGAAAAAACTTGGTCAAGGCCTTCATGGCACCAATAATATACATATTTTCTCAGAGATGAACCTAGGATTTGAAGGTTACGGGTGCACTTTTTGATTCAACCAAAACTTGCTTTGTATAAGACGTCCACTATTAATAAATTACTATTTTCTAAAGACGTATACATGTATATATAGAATTTACGCCGAACTTTACAGGTGCCGGTGACCCCTCTACCTGTTGCCTAAGTCCACCTCTTTATTTTCTGAATCCACATTCAATGTCATCCAAGAGGGGACTATATTTTGAGAAAATAGGATTGGGAAGTTGGAAATACCATTAGTGTCGTGCAGTCCCATTGGGGAGTTAACCTTCATCACGACTTACAAATATTCACCATGCTATTTTTAATGGAAACTAAGATATGTAAATAAACCACTCAACTTCGAGAATTAGCAATATTTTACATAATATTCCTTACTTTTCTCAAGCTCTCTTCTACGTCTTTTATTGTTAAATAATTTTTTTTTTATTACATCTCTTTATTTTTTACTTACTTTAGCGTTGATGTATTAACCATTTCAGCTGTTGGAATATATTCTAAACGATTATATAGAATGAGGTGGAGATCAGTGATAAGAGCAAACAAAGTAATAATGGCATAATAAGAAGAGAAAAAAGTAGGACTACTGATAATAAGGAAAAAGACAAAAACACCTAGCCAGCCAATAGATACTTGCCAATGGTTTGAAATTCTTGCCCCAATGACATTAATTTTTCAAGCCGTGGCAATTGGATATGCTTTGGAGATATTCCCTTGCCAGATATTCATTTCCTATTGAGATTTATTTCCTTTTTCTTGGTAAGATAAGTTCCAACGTTTCAATCAGATCTCCAACAATAACTAAAGCAGAAAACCTTGAAAAATAATTTATCACCCATTTGCTTCACATGCCAAAATATATAAAAAAAAGACTTGCTAGCTTTTACTTGATCACAATAAACAAAGACTTATAAAAAACTTTAGAAAATTGACCACGTTACAAGTGGGACAATAATTATGACTTTTTTTCTGTTTTTACATAGTGCGAAATTACAACAAACCATGTAAATCTAGTCAGCAAAGACGAAGACAATTGCTCTTTGGCTTATCCACTATTTTCTTAACCTCAATTATTTGCCCCCACTAAGCTGTGGCGCCTCTCCGCAGCTTCTTACAACCAAACTGCACATGTTTTTATAGGGTTTCCTCTAAGGTAACCTAAGCTCACCACTCAAAACTTTCTTCTCTCTTTTGCTTGCTGTTTCTTGAACTCAAAATATGCCTTCACTTCTTCAAATATTCCTTCCTTTGTTTCCATTCTTTTTCTTGGTTTCTTTCTCTTTTTCTCACGGACCCTTTTTGCCTAAGGCCATTATTCTTCCTGTAAACAAAGATCTGTCCACTTTTCAGTATGTTACTCAAGTTTACATGGGTGCTCATCTTGTTCCTACCAATTTAGTTGTAGATCTTGGAGGTTCATTTCTCTGGACTAATTGTGGCTTAACTTCTGTATCTTCAAGTCAGAAACTTGTCCCCTGTAATTCACTCAAGTGCTCAATGGCTAAACCTAATGGTTGCACTAACAAGATTTGTGGTGTGCAATCAGAAAATCCTTTTACAAAAGTGGCTGCAACAGGGGAATTAGCAGAGGACATGTTTGCTGTGGAATTCATAGATGAGTTAAAAACAGGTTCAATTGCTTCAATACATGAATTCTTGTTTTCTTGTGCATCAACTGCTTTGTTACAAGGTCTTGCTAGAGGTGCTAAAGGAATGTTAGGACTTGGAAATTCAAGAATTGCATTGCCATCTCAGTTGTCTGATACATTTGGTTTCCAGAGGAAATTTGCTCTCTGTTTGTCTTCTTCAAATGGTGCTATAATATCTGGTGAAAGTCCTTACTTGTCACTTTTGGGTCATGATGTTTCAAGATCTATGCTTTACACACCTTTGATTTCATCTAAAGATGGTGTTTCAGAAGAGTATTACATCAATGTTAAATCCATAAAAATTAATGGCAAGAAACTGTCTTTAAACACATCCTTGTTTAAAATGGATGAAGAAGGTGTTGGAGGGACAAAGATTAGTACAATTTCCCCTTTTACTAGCATGAAAAGCTCAATCTATAAGACATTTATTGAAGCTTATGAAAAATTTGCTATTTCCATGAATTTGACTAAAGTGGAATCCATAGCACCATTTGAGCTTTGTTTTAGCACAGAGGGGATAGATGTCACAAAAGTGGGGCCAAATGTGCCAACTATGGATCTTGTGTTGCAAAGTGAAATGGTTAAGTGGAGGATTTATGGGAGAAATTCAATGGTGAAAGTAAGTGATGAAGTGATGTGTTTGGGATATTTGGATGGAGGGGTGAATCAAAAGGCTTCAATTGTTATAGGAGGTTACCAGTTGGAGGATAATCTTTTGGAGTTTAACTTGGGAACTTCTATGCTTGGATTTACTCCACTTTCAATGGCAGAAACAAGCTGTTCTGACTTTATGTTCCATTCTGTATCGAAAGATTCATCTTTTGATTCTTGACACCAAATCCTTAACCCAAGATTTTTAATTGTGGATCAATTCCCCTTTGTATAGTTGTCTAAGAACATGTATTGGCTCCTATACATAATCATGACTTGGCCAATCTTAGGATATATAACTAGTTTATTGGTGAGGAAGAGATTCTTGGGTTTTGATTATGACTTATGAGTGTTTTTTAACTCCCTTTTGAGAAAATTTTGATATGGAACATCTATTTTTCAAGTTCCTGATTAAAGAATTTATTAGTTCTGATCTTCCCTATGTTACTTTGCTATTTAGTTTGATGTATGTATTGTTCCGTCGTAGTGTAATATTTTGGAAAAGGACAATGGATATGGACAATCAACAACGAGACCATAGTCGGATTAGGCTTTTGCTTGTTGGACACCAAAAGATTTGGGCTTCTACATGATGTAGTCCAATTTTTTAGTAAAAATTGTGTGGGGTAATCACTTTTTAAAGTGGTATTTACTTTTTATCCAGCATTTTCAATGCTTAATAATAGTAGCCACTAGTCTATTAAAATTAATATGAAAAGACTGTGTTACCCTTTCTTCTAAACAGGAATGGCAGTTTTCTTCATGTTGCTTGACGCTGATTACGTGCCTTCTCTTTCTCTTTGACTTCACTTCCTTGATTAGTATCATACTCTATTTTATCAATAAAAAAATAGATGAATTGACATTAGAAGACATATTGAGAGCAAGAAGATAAATATAGAACATAAACCATTGTCAGGGGCTTTTTCATGGATTATCTTTTCTTCATCCTCTTTGTTTCCTCCATAGATGCCTCCAAAACCTTCTTCATCCGATCTCGTCGCATATCCATCTCCAAAGCTGCTCGACGCCTCCAAAACCTTCTTCATCCTGAACTTAGGCTAAGAACCCCAAAAGTTAAGGACAATAGGTCCTGAACTTACAGTTACAAGTTCAAAAGTTATGGATAATAGGTCCTGAAGTCCTGAACTTAGACTAGCAAGCTCAAAAGTTAAGGATAATAGGTCTTGAACTTAGGCTAAGAAGCCCAAAAGTTAAGGACAATAGGTCCTGAACTTAGACTAACAAGCTCAAAAGTTAAGGACACTTGGTCCTGAACTTACAGTTGCAAGTTCAAAAGTTAAGGACATGTAGTCCTGAAGTCCTCAAGTTAAGTTCAAAAGTTAAGGACATGTAGTCCTGAAGTCCTGAACTTAGAGTTCCAAGTTCAAAAGTTAATGACATGTAGTCCTGAAGTCCTAAAGTTAAGTTCAAAAGTTAAGGACATGAGCAGAAAGGTATTTTCGTCCGGGCAGTTAAAGTTTATTAAAGCAGTGGCTAAAGACTAAAGACATTTTAAACAGTGGCTTAAAAGTAAATACATGTGTTAGTAGTGGCTAACCGTGCACTTCCCCCTTTAGTAAAAATTGTGTGGGGTAGCCACTTTTTAAAGTGGTATTTACTTTTTATCCTGTATTTTCAATGCTTAGTAATAGTAGCAACTAGTCTATTAAAATTAATATGAAAAGACTGGATTACCCTTTCTTCTAAACTGGAATGGCAGTTTTCTTCATGTTGCTTGACGATGATTACGTGCCTTCTCCTTCTCTTTGACTTCACTTCCTTGATTAGTATCATACTCTATTTTATCAATTAAAAAATAGATGAATTGACATTAGAAGACATATTAAGAGCAAGAAGATAAATATAGAACATAAACCATTACCAGGGGCTTTTCCATGGATTGTCTTTTCTTCACCCCCTTTGTTTCCTCCATAGATGCCTCCAAAACCTTCTTCATCCGATCTCGTCGCATATCTATCTCCAAAACTGCTCGACATTGTGTCCCTTCAATCCAATAAATATGAATTACACTCTTGGTAATGTCCAAACACTCAAAAGTTAAGGATACTTGGTCCTGAACTTCGAGTTCCAATTTCAAAAGTTAAGGATACTTTGCCCTGAACTTAGAATTACAAGTTCAAAAGTTAAGGACACTTGGTCCTGAACTTACAGTTACAAGTTCAAAAGTTAAGGAAAATAGGTCCTGAAGTCCTGAACTTAGACTAACAAGCTCAAAAGTTAAGGACAATAGGTCCTGAACTTAGGCTAAGAACCCCAAAAGTTAAGGACAATAGGTCCTGAACTTACAGTTACAAGTTCAAAAGTTATGGATAATAGGTCCTGAAGTCCTGAACTTAGACTAGCAAGCTCAAAAGTTAAGGATAATAGGTCCTGAACTTAGGCTAAGAAGCCCAAAAGTTAAGGACAATAGGTCCTGAACTTAGACTAACAAGCTCAAAAGTTAAGGACACTTGGTCCTGAACTTACAGTTGCAAGTTCAAAAGTTAAGGACATGTAGTCCTGAAAGTCCTCAAGTTAAGTTCAAAAAGTTAAGGACATGTAAGTCCTGAAGTCCTGAACTTAGAGTTCCAAGTTCAAAAGTTAATGACATGTAGTCCTGAAGTCCTAAAGTTAGTTCACAAAGTTAAGGACATGAGCAGAAGGTATTTCGTCCGGGACAGTTTAAAAGTTATTAAAAGCAGTGGCTAAAGACTTAAAGACAGTTTTTAAAACAGTGGACTTAAAAAGTAAATACAATGTGTTAGTAGTGGACTAACCGTGCACTTCCCCTTTAGTAAAATTGTGTGGGGTAGCCACTTTTTAAAGTGGTATTTACTTTTTATCCTGTATTTTCAATGCTTAGTAATAGTAGCAACTAGTCTATTAAAATTAATATGAAAAGACTGGGTTACCCTTTCTTCTAAACTGGAATGGCAGTTTTCTTCATGTTGCTTGACGCTGATTACGTGCCTTCTCCTTCTCTTTGACTTCACTTCCTTGATTAGTATCACACTCTATTTTATCAATTAAAAAATAGACGTATTGACATTAGAAGACATATTAAGAGCAAGAAGATAAATATAGAACATAAACCATTACCAGGGGCTTTTCCATGGATTGTCTTTTCTTCATCCCCTTTGTTTCCTCCATAGATGCCTCCAAAACCTTCTTCATCCGATCTCGTCGCATATCTATCTCCAAAACTGCTCGACATTGTGTCCCTTCAATCCAATAAATACGAATTACACTCTTGGTAATGTCCAAACACTCAAAAGTTAAGGACACTTGGTCCTGAACTTCGAGTTCAAAGTTCAAAAGTTAAGGTCACTTGGTCCTTAACTTAGAATTACAAGTTCAAAAGTTAAGGACACTTGGTCCTGAACTTAGAATTACTAGTTCAAAAGTTAAGGACACTTGGTCCTGAACTTACAGGCTCAATTCGAAAATGTTGAAACCATGAATGAGGCTTTGCAAAAACTTATTGCCTCTCAAGTCAATAAAGCTCTTCAAACTTTTGTTAGCCAATTACCTGCTGTTCCACCCACATCTACTCCAAACAACAACACTTTGGAGAATCCTCGTTCAGATTGGTTAATTCAGACAGCGGTGGAAGCCCTAGTGAAACACAAGAGAGAGACCCAGGTAATCTAGTTAACTCTGATTTACAAAATCTAGTACTAACCTTGCAGAAACAGCTTAAGGAGCAAAATGAACGCATAGAGCAAATACCTGGAGTACCGCCCGTGATCAAGGGAGTAAATATAGATAAATATTCCCAACAACCATGGAAGCCAAGTGCTGCTCCCCTCCCAATTCCAAAGAAGTTTAAGATGCCTGATATTCCAAAGTATGATGGTACATCAGATCCACGAGATCACGTTACTGCGTTCACAACAGGTGTCAAGGGCAATGATTTGACTAAGCAAGAGATTGAGTCGGTCTTGGTTAAGAAATTCGGTGAAACACTCACTAAAGGGGCCTTAACATGGTATTCTCTTTTACCTGAAAATTCTATAAATTCGTTTGCTGAGCTTGCAGATTTATTTATCAAAGCACACTCGGGAGCTCAAAAAGTTGAAAAGCGAATGGAAGACATCTTCAAAATCAAGCAAGGAGACTCAGAGTTGCTTAGAGAGTTCGTAGATAGATTTCAACGAGAAAGAATGACGCTACCACGAGTACCTGACAATTGGGCAGCCATAGCTTTTGCTAGTAATTTGAATGAGAAGAGTTCAGAAGCCACGAGGCGACTCAAAGAAAGCCTTCGAGAATTCCAAGCAACAACGTGGAATGATGTCTACAACAGATACAGTAAAAAGATGAGGATTGAAGAAGACATTATTTTACGACATAAAATAGAAGAAAAGGTAAGCTCAAGGCGTGTGGAAAATGAAAAGAGATCCGGTAAAAACAGGTACGAGCCATACATGGGACCTGCGGGGAAGACTCACGATCAAGGCAAGATAATCAAAGGTACGATCACAAACCTAGAAACAAGGAGTCAGGCTCCTCATCGAGGTTCGGAAATGACCGGAACACACGCGGGTCACGAGACGATGATGGAAGTCTAAAGGCAAGGTTCGGTGGTTACAACTTCAACGTAAGCACCTCTGAACTCGTGGCTGTTTTAAGAAGCATGAGAGATAAGGTACGATGGCCAAAGGAAATGCGATCGAATCCGAACAGAGGAAACCCTGATCATTGGTGCGAATTTCATAACGATCATGGGCATAAAACACCAGATTGCAGGTTTCTGCGAAGTGAAGTTGATCATTTGTTAAAACAGGGGTATCTTACTGAGTTGTTCAGTGAGAAAGGTAAACAAGCATACATGAAGAACATGCAGGAGCCTCCAAAACCACCTTCGCCCAAGAGAATTGTCAAAGTTATAAGTGGAGGTGAAGAGATCAATGATGTATCATATAAAAAGGTTTCAAAAGTGACAATTACCCACGGGAAGCGGCCTCGACATGTACTGGAAGAGGAGAATGTTATATTCAACAACGCAGACACCAAGGGACTCAGCATAACGACGCACTGGTAATATCTTTACTTGTACATGACACTAAAGTGAAACGAGTTTTGGTTGATCCAGGTAGTTCTGTAAACATTGTTTTAATACGAGTATTGCGCGAGATGCAAGCGGAGGATAAATTAATTCCAAAGGCGCATACTTTGTCGGGATTTGATAACTCTAGTGTTGTAACAAAAGGGGAGGCAATACTTACTACGTTCGCAGAAAGCGTCGTTAAAGATACCAAATTTCAAGTTGTAGATATGGAAATGGCTTACAATATGATTCTTGGGAGGCCATGGATTCAGGACATGGAAGCTGTTCCTTCAACTTTACATCAAGTTATTAAATTCCCATCTCCATGGGGAATATGCCAAATCAGAGGCGATCAACAAACATCTAGAAGCATCAATTCCGT